AAGTGATTGTAACGAGCAAGATTGCGCCAACTCTTTAGCAGTTGAATATAAGACATGGTTGGTATTAAAGTCTCCATGATAGGGGCAAATCGTAACAAATGGCCTGGTACTTGATTGTAACGTAGTTTGAATTTGCGAATGATTTTCAATGCTTCTGCCTTGTTCTTAGTTGTGCGTAGTTTGCTTACTGACAGAACAGCAGTTGGGAACATTTCTGTGTTACTTTTGGTCTTTTCAACTTCAGCAGCGGTTGCTTTGGTCGCTTTCTTCTCGTCTTCTGCTCGGTTTGTAACATCTACATGATTTTCAATAGCTGTTTCGCTAGATTCAGATGCTTTAAGTAATTCCGTGCAGGTTTTGAAAAATGGGGTGACCACACCCGCAGCACCTATGGTTTCATCGTTAATGTGACATAGCTTTATAAGTGATTTGTGCGTAAAGCCATGTGCACCTCGATGCGTCAGCCACATTTGACGTATCTCATCGGGTGACTGATTCTCATACCAGGATGTTATGGCTTTGCGTGTGGTATTAGTAAAACCCTTATGATTTTGTTCTCGCCGAATGAGTGTAGCATATTTACAAAATAGGAAAAGGTCTTCATCATTTCGTATTAATGCCGGAAATGCTTTTCTTAACGACGTTTTCCTTTTAATTTCAATGTCACTAGCTAAATAGACTGCATATACGAAGAGCGACTAATATATCAATACGGAAAATAGAAAGGTTAGTCAACATTTGCAATATGTATACATGTACATATTTAAATAATATTAACCTCATCACGTCGCACTAACGTTGTCTCCTGTAGAGCTTGTTTCAATATCATAACCATTGAAACGTCATCCAACGCTTGGCAAAGTACCTGCAGCTGCGGCAAGTATTTATGCACATCGACTGAACCCCGCAGATGAACGTAGACGGGTTCAAAGCCGCCAAGATAGCAGTAGCGTTGCAATTTAGCCTTTGCATCCAACTCCATTGCTCAACTTAATTTGTCAATACAATACTGAATGGAAAATAGAAATCGATTTCCTTCGAAATACTACAAAGAAGACAATAGTTAACTCCACTCACGTTTCAAACCTATTGCCNCCTTTGCATCCAACTCCATTGCTCAACTTAATTTGTCAATACAATACTGAATGGAAAATAGAAATCGATTTCCTTCGAAATACTACAAAGAAGACAATAGTTAACTCCACTCACGTTTCAAACCTATTGCCACCGTCTGCTTTCGACACAGCAAATTTCACTCTTCGCTTCGCTGCTGATTCTGGCCACAGCCCAAAATCAAAGACGCAAAAACAATACTTCGTTACGTTACCAAGTTAATTCCACTTTTCTGTGGATATTTCCTTTATAATTGGGTATGTTTTTTGGTTTATTAAATGCAAAAATGGATAAACTCAAGAATGAAATGAAGAAATGTGCAAAACGCACAAACCGTAGTGAAATGCAAAATGCAGAAATTCTGCTGTATTTTGTGATGAGAAAAAGCGATGGGATCTTAATCGATAGTCGATAAGTTTTTGCAAAAATTAACAGAAGTTCATGTATAATCGATAACCAAAATTACAAATTTATCAATTACTACGTTTATACGTAAGCTAATTGTAAATAAAAATAATTTGCAAATACCTAACTCATTAGGGGTATTCTCCNAGTGAAATGCAAAATGCAGAAATTCTGCTGTATTTTGTGATGAGAAAAAGAAATGGGATCTTAATCGATAATCGATAAGTTTTTGCAAAAATAACAGAAGATAATATATAATCGATAATCAAAATTACAAATTTATCAATTACTACTTTTAAACGTAAGCAAATTGCAAATAAAAATAATTTGCAAATACCTAACTCACTGTTTATTCGATGGGGAAAAAATCTTTTTTAATATTGTCTGATTATAAAAAGGCAATAATATTNTGCAAGGGCTTTGCAAGACTCAGAGAATACCCCTACTGTTTATTCGATGGGGAAAAATCTTTTTTAATATTGCCTTATTTGCAAATAGTACCACTAATCAATACTTAATTGCGTGATTTAGTTAGTTGCAAATAAAAAGTAAACTCAGCGTTTATACGGTAAAATTTACCATTTTGCAAATTGTTATTTGCAAATAATACGTGCGTACAAACGTAGTAAATAAACCCGGGAATATTCAAAACTATTTTTCCATTTGTGGGTTTTATTATTTCAATTAAATAATTAGAGGATTCCCATAAACTCGTAAACGGCAGGAAAACCTCGAGACTTTAACAGACTCGGAAAACGACTATCAAAAATGGTATGAATGATGCTTTTCGCGGCCTAGAAAACTTTCGAAGCAATCTAGTTGCGGAAACACCATTGAAAAGAAAGAGCCAATTTACACGAGGACTTTTCACCCTGGGTGAGTTCGAGATGCGCTCCGCTTTAAAAATGTGGACGAAAGGGTCTCTAATTCACGTTTAAGAGAATCCCCTAAATAGTTTGTGAAGTCTGTTTCATAAGGAAAATATTTGATTGTGTATTTGCTACAGATGACAAACAACGCAGGCGAATAGTTGAGAGTTGGCGTTAGCGTTGCCAAATTTTCGCTACGTGAATGGCTGCATTTAAATTCATGTGTTCATAGCCAGCTGTTGAAGCGACGCCAAAGTCAACGTAGCGCCAAAGATGAATGTAGGCGGACCTTCAAATAAAATACATTATACGTTCTCGAAACAAAAAAGCTCTTACGCGAGAGCATGGGCTTGGTCACCACTGTAATTCGCCAAGATCAGATCACAAATAGAGATTTTCTGTCCAACAAATGTACTATCCAAATTTGGTGTAATTCCGTTTAAGTTTTTGAGTCAAGTTTTAACAAAGGAAACTGCTACACTTTTATATCTAAACGCCTTGTTCACTGTGACATACTCTTGCATTTCTGGCGTAGTATACAGACGACCAGTGGAAAGTGTAAAGTTTTTTAATTTATGGGAACATCACTTTTCAATTAAAAAAGTCGACTTTCGATTAATTGAATTCGTTATCGACTTTGGTTAGTTGTGAATACACCTTTCACTTAAATCCCTTTATACTTTACTCCCTTCACTTTAAGTACATCAATACTTTACTTTACTTTCAATCACTTTACTTTCAGTTACATCAATAGAATGACTTGTATGTAAATTTGTTGTTGCGAATAGCGAACTAGAAAAAAGCGCCAAATTTGACAACAACAAAACAAAATGTTATCGACTAATTTGAATCTCCGTTTCGATTTGAGCATGCGCATGCTTTTCTTTAGTTTANGTACCACTAATCAATACTTATTTGCGTGATTTAGTTATTTGCAAATAAATTTTTCCAGCCTCGGAAAACGACTGTCTACGACGAGTTTACCAAAGAAAATTTTACGCTTAAATGTGAAAAAACGCAAGAAGCGCTGCAAAGAAAAAGTCATCGTGTAAATACACGAGGATTTTCGAAGACTTTTAAAAGCGAAAATGCAAAAAAACGCAGGGTATAAAGTCGTGGTGTAAATTAGCTCTAATTCACGTTTAAGAGAATCCCCTAAATAGTTTTTGAAGTCTGTTTCATAAGGAAAATATTTGATTATGTATTTGCTACAGATGACAAACAACGCAGGCGAATAGTTGAGAGTTGGCGTTAGCGTTGCCAAATTTTCGCTATATGAACGGCTGCATTTAATATCATGTGTTCATAGCCAGCTGTTGAAGCGACGCCAAAGTCAACGTAGCGCCAAAGCTGAATGTAGGCGGGCCTCCATATAAAATACATTTTACGTTCTCGAAACGAAAAAGCTCTTACGCGAGAGCATAGGCTTGGTCACCACTGTGATTCACCAAAATCAGATCACAATTAAAGATTTTGGGTGGGCTTTAGATTGCTAACCCCGGAGTTCAGCATTAAGGAA